TTGGGATACGCCCAGAGTCACGGAACGGATTAAGTTCGTATCCCGAGGTACCACTGTAACTGAAGTACCATGATCAATGGTACCATGACAACAAATGTCATTTTGATCCGAGTGTCACTGGGACTTCTTAGACATTTTGATCCAAGGGTCCTGAATTTTATACTCCCTTTTCCTCCCCTGCCACACTGATTTATAAAAAACTAAAGAATCCTGTCCTTTTTTGCTATGACTGTTACAGATCCAAAACTGAGTAGGGAGGATTCTATTCTGAAATATGCTAATCTGCTTTGGAATTCAATTTCATATATGAATCTGATGGACAGCTGTAGTATAAACCTTCTGAAAATAGAAGACACCTATGGGGCTTGAATCTTCCTCAGGTATTTACTTCTCCTAAAATAAAAGGAGTTAATGCAAACATCAGAAAATAGCTTCCAAATTTAATTCAGATAAAATTCAAGACATTCAAAATAACAAGTAGAAAAGGATAATTCAAATATATTCTGCATCCACAGGATAATTTTGGAATCTTCACCTTGCTTATGTAAACACTGTATGAGGTATTTTTACATAGAAAAATATATAATAACATGAAATTCTACCTAAGTTTGAAAGGTTACAGCTTAGAGACAGGCCCTGTATGTTTTCCTAGTACTCCATATAAAAAAAAAACAACTCCAAAATCTATTTGAGAAACGTTGATTTTTCAAGACACTCACCGACTCCTGTCTTTGCGATTCATCAAGTCTGCCAGATAAATCTTCTAATCTTTTTTTCGTTTCAGCATCACTTCTTAGAATAAAACAAAAACAAAAAACAAAAAAACCCAAAAATCTTCTTCAAAGTATACCATGTACTACATAAAGCAAATTAGTCTCTATCTTTATTACAAAATTGCAATAACTTCTTATTGTCAGAAAATGTTATTGTTTCTGAATAGGATACCCCCCCCCAATGCGAAGGAACCCTAACAGACTGGAAGAAAAAGCAATTGAAGCTCAGTAGAAACTAGGTGAAGATGTTGTTAGGTGGCTTAACCCTGATCTGAAGGAAGCTGCACTTCCCATGAATAATCAGGTATGATTTGGAAATGCTCCTGGTCACCAGAGACACTGTTTGCCTCAATGGCTAGCAGCACCTTTTATCAACAATGATATACTAGCTGGAACACTTTCTGGACAGGGACAATCTAGCATCAGTCACACATGCTCTGGTAAACATTCAGATAAATTACATCAATGGAAGGATCTTGCTAGGAGGAATCACATCTTTATCACTGCTTGGTTGGACTATGCAATAAATTTTAATGGGGCTGCCTTTGAAGAGAAACTGCAAATGTTTCAACATGGAATGGCCTACTTGTTGGCAGGTACTAATCACCTTTAACATATTACACTTGTATTGTAGGCCCATATTGGTGGCCAATAGGTTTCTGGGTACAATTCAAAGCGCTGGTTTTAACCTATACGCTCTTTATGGCTTGGTGTCTGGATACCCGCAAGACTGCCTTCTTCAACCAAAGCCCACCTGGGAGAAACTACTGGTAGTGCCCCATTTTCATGACGTAAGGGGACTAAGGCCAGAAAATGCTATTTTTAGTTATAGCACCAGTACTTAATAGCTTCCCCTGGAAGCAAGACTAGTCTTTTTTATGGATGACTTTTACAATTTGTTTACAGACTTTATTCAAGGTGGCTGTAATGATATTTAAAGCTCTCAACCATTTGGGATCACAGTATAGCAAGGAACAACTCCTATATGTATCTATCCAGGCACTCTGTCATTTGGTCTTCCCCCATCTGCCAAGTGACGTTATGGAGGAGTTTTATAAGGGACAGAGTTCTACGAGGGTCAGAGTTTTGCCAGCTGTATAATTCCAGTTAATAAATGCCCTCCCAAGGAAGGTAACTTTGCAGCCACTTAGTATTATTTTTATACCTGGCTAAGGTATTCCTCTTCACCAAGGCATTTTTTTAATGTTTTATTTTAATAAGAATTGCCCACATTACATTGGGAAATTGGCTTTGATATATGTCATTTCATTGTTTTTATTGGATTTTTAAATATTTTTAAAACTTTGTAATCTGCCAGAGAACTCCTGTTATTGAGCAGATGCAATACAAATAATACATAATGTAATACCATGCAGTGACTGAACAGAACTGTCAAACATCAAATGTTTGTTTTCTATGTTAAACATTCAAACTTCTACCAATAGAAGCGAAGACGTGTAGCTCAGGGTTGAACTGTGGAGTCCTTGCAAACCCCATTCCACTCTAGCACAGAAGATGTTACCCAGCCGGGTAATGAAACGTTTGCAAGAAAACAACCAAGGTCAGAGAACCCCAAGGACTCCACAATTCAAACTTCTTCACCAACCAAAGTCATACTCTCTGTTCATACCGATTTCTTCTTGAAAGTTCTCTGTTGAGGTCATCTCCCAAACGAATTTGTTCACTGCTGAGATCTCTGAGTGACTGGTGTAAGGAATGCAGCTGCAGTATGAACACACATAGATCATAATTAGCTGCTTTAAAAATATTTACTTTTCTACAATTTTGCATAGATATATTCAGTATATCTTCAGGTATATTTTTCATAATACCTGAAAGCTACAAAACAGCTATAATAACAATAATTAGAAAGAAAGACATAATACCAAATTATTGGATTTTGCATCTTTATATATTAAGATCCATTCAAAGTGGACCTAGGCTCTTAAAGGACCTGGGTCAATCCTATGTATCTAGTTCAGGACAAAATGTATTTAAATATTTCAGTATTTACTTTTCTTTCAGCATTACTTAACATTCTACAGATTCTTTACACTCATGTTTTTTTCCCCTTAATCTAAAAAAATGCATGACCTTTTTTCAACATTTATTCTTTTTTCAATTACTGCCACTATCTTTTGAATATTTGCTATCTGAGATTTAAGCCACCCAATCTCGTCCTATCTTAAAACACTCCTTTTAAACCATATGTTTTATAATATTGTTCATGCTTACTATTCTGAATTTCTCTCATTTCTTTTCTACTATTTTGTTATGCTATTATTAGACTGATATGCCTCACTAGCAACTTACCATGTAAGTGTTGGACAGTAACTGTTTTAAGAATTTTAAATGCACTAGCTATTCCAGAGCCATTTTATGAAACGCCATTAACCAAAATCTATTTTACTCTCTAATAAAAGAGATTGTAAATAGTAACAGCAGCTAATGTTACTAAAAATAGTAATGAAACTAATCTTCTGATTACAGCAGTTTTATACACAATTACTCTTATATAACACATAATAAATATATTGGATTGCACTGATAAAACATAGTATCAGATTTAAAGGCTTTAAAAGATGTACTATTAAATGTGGTTTGCATAGCTATTATCTAAGCATTTCATCATTGCTAGCATGCTGAAAAACTACAGTTAAGCAGTTATTTTTTAATAAGTTTCAGATACATCACTAAAACTAAAAATATGCTGGATAAGAGGTTTCAGGGTATGTATAGCATTACACAAAACAGAAGAGTCATTTTTAGTGGTTCATCTTTGAGAAGAATTGTGTGGTCTCCTCAAAAGAAGGTGGTACATTTCTTTAGAATGCAGTAATAATAGCAGCATGTTAGAAATTACTGCATCAGTTCCACATAAGCTTAAAAGTATCATCACAGGCTGTTTGTTGTTGTTTTTTTTAAAATGCAAGAGAAGACAGACACAGATTTTAAAATGTAGTTTTTGAGAATACAAAAGTGAACTGCATCAGTTCCACATAAGCTTAAAAGTATCATCACAGGCTGTTTGTTGTTGTTTTTTTTAAAATGCAAGAGAAGACAGACACAGATTTTAAAATGTAGCTTTGAGAATACAAAAGTGAATTTTTGATGCTTCACTGCAGTTTAACTTTGCTTTCTTTTCTTCCCATGACTGTCTATTTCCTCCACAAAGAGCATGTGTTGAAAAGAGATACAAAGCCGCAGTAAAAAAACAGGAGTCATCTACAACATACAATGCAAGGAGTGTAACAGCCGCTATGTAGGACAGATAGGCAGAAGACTAGCAGAGCGCATCCGCAAACAACAACTAGCAGTCAGAAAACACGAAAAAAACTCCTTGATCTCCCAACACATGGGCAGACTCAACCACAGTTTCAGCTGGGATAATATAAGCAACTTAGATCAAGCCAAATCCAAAATGCTAGTGAAGCTTGGCATTCAGACAAATCAGCCATCAATAGACACATAGAGATAAACCACATTTATACACCATTCAAATGAGACAATAAAAATCCTAGGAAGGAAACAAAATAACTAGAACACATCCCCTCCAGCAGCCACTCAGATAGGCAGGGATTAACACCAGACAATCAGGCAGAAAACAATACTCTAATCAAAGAACCACCAAAGAAGAAACCACACACCCCACCAAAACTGGCAGGGCAAGTTACTATATATCAAACCCCACCCTCACTCACACTGATGATGTTACCTAGTTGGGTAATGAAACATCTGCAAGCAAAGAACCAAGCTCAGAGAGCACCAAGAACTCCACAGATATACAATAATTCTCAAAGTCTACATAAACGACTTAACAGCTGACCTACATAGACTTCACTAAGTGAAAGGAAGAAGTGACTGGGGAAAAAACACGAGCCTATATTCTCTTAAGAATAGCTGCTTACCTGGTCCAAGTTACCTCGCTGATCAACAAATCGAACAGCAGATCTAGACCGCCGGTGCCTGGTACCCAGTGTTGCACTGTAATCTCTGAGGGGAGAGGTAGGCTTGAAATGATGAACTTCTTCACAGAAAGAAAGAAAGGAAAATCAGCACAAGTTTCTTTTGAAACATAATTCATATCTGAAGGACTGCCTATAGCACGATGAATCTGCCTGGATACTAACATTAATCTGCTCAAACGTATTTTCCACCATACTTACTGTATATGTATACAATATTATTAATACATAGCTATTACAAAGCAAAACAAATCAATAAAGATTTTGTTATAAGAAAGACTATACATGTCTATTCAATAGTTCAATGAGACACCCATAGGTAGGTGAATATATGATTTCAGCATGAGGTTTATTAAATATACCTGGAGCTCCACTATCCAGGTCACTTGCATACAAGCTTGAAAGAGATGCGCTTCTTACTCCAGAATTTCTCAATAATCGTTGGTTCCTTAATTGGCCCAAGGATTGTTCCAAAGTTTCTTTAAGCTATATTAAAATGGTAACTTGTTAGGTAGAAGACAATTTCCTTCAAAATACATTAAAGAATGGAACAGAAACAGGAGTTTTATATTTTTACAAATTCTAATATGTTCAGTCAATAGCAGCTTACATTTGCAATTGTTTCTGCCTGCTCGTTGTTATACTCTCGATACTGGCCCAACATCTGATCCACATGTTTTAAGTTCCAATTTGCATCCTTTAAACAGAGATGAAAAGAAAACATAATTAAACTGCAATCCAACCTACAAATACTTAATGTTAAATGTGGGAGGTCAATATCCAAAGTGTCCAAAAATAAGTAGTTTGTGTGCTTTTATGACCAAATGTCTATCCTTAAAGTCACAACCAATTTAGTGCCCATTAATATGTGTATTTACAGAAGTTCCTTACAATTTTTAACATGAAGCCTTCTCGTAAGACTCTAGGAATCTCACATCAAAATAGTTGTGGAAAATGTATAAATTTGTACTTGCTCTAACCAATTCACCTCATAGTCTGCCTAAAGATTTGTAACCATGATGAAAATGTGGCAGTATTCAGAAACTTGCATATCTCCCTGACTCCAGATAATCTAGGAATACTAAAGCTTAATAGTCCAAAAAGACCACAGGAAGTGAACTTGTATGGAGTCAAACAGATGCCTGTCAGTAGAAACTATCTAGAGTTTCAGGCAAAAGCCTATCTCTAACTTACTCAGATTTACCAGTGACTGGACCTGGAAACTTTTGCATGTAAAGTACATACTCTATGACTGTTTTATAGCCAAGCACAGAAACCTGTGACCGCTCAGTACTTTGTTCCTGTTATGATCTATTTTCTTTCCTTAATTATAAACAGATATTGATCTATATCTAAATATTTGGGAGGGGTATAAAGCATATAATCAGTCATAGACTTTTAACTTTATTTTTAATTAGTCTTTTTAAAAAACAAATGTTGTGGCTTTTAACGTGTTATAAATCATCTTGGCCATTTAGTGGAAAGGCTATGTAGAAATATATATATACTTTAAATACAGGTAGTCCTCACTTAACAACTGCCCTGTTTAGTGACTGTTCGAAGTTACAACAGCATTGATAAAGTAATTTTACAACTGATCCTTGCACTTATGGCCATCACAGCATCCCCACAGTCACGTGATTGAGATTCGGGCACTTTGCAACCAGCAGGCATTTCAACCATTACAGCATCCTGTAGTCACATGATGGCCATTTGCGTGCTTCACAGCTGGATTCCGACAAGCAGAGTCAACAGAGAAGCTGGCAGTAAAATCGCAAGTTGCAGTCACGTGCTTTCTCGCTTAACAGCAGCAGAAGTGACGTCATAAATCCATCATGGTCACATGTCTCCCTTAATGACCACATCACTTAGCAATGGAGTTGCTGGTCCCAACTGTGGTTGTTAAATGAGGCTTAACAGTAAATGTTTACAAGTCACCTTCAAAAAAATAAGTCTTACTCCCTGCCTTTTCCATTTCTCTAACTTAAGACCATGACTTTATCTTTTTTTCTTTTGGGGAAAGCAAAACTATGCTAGAAGTTATCAGAGTCGCAAGGAGCTCCAAGTGAAGGTAGAAGCTCAAGTTCAAGCCTACACCTTGGCAATAAGAGAGGTGAAGTGTCATTACTTCTCTTTTATTACATCATCAGGCTCTCAGCCAGTGGCCTTGTTTAGGTTGGCCAACATCCTTTTTGGGGAGGAAGCATCAGGTAGGGTTTCCATCTAGCTGCTCTATATATAGACAGGTTGGTTCTAGGAGGTTAACAATATCTTACTTCAATAAGAATGGTACCAGCAGTCTCAAAAGAGATTGTGGTGCACCTGCTCCTTAAGAGACCCTCCACAGACTCAGCCATCCTTCATAACTAGTGTTTTGTCTCTAACTTAGCCTTTTTGGGGAAGAATATTGAAACAGTGGTTAAGATTGAATCCAAACAAAATATTCTATATGCTCATCAAGGTGTTCTGCTCCAGGCTTGTCTCTTGATGGGGTGGCACTCTTTTTGAAAGAGCAGATCCAAGACTTGACGATCCCCCTGGATTTATAGCTACTGCTTTATGGGCAGGTAGAGGCTAAGGTCGGGGTGGGGAGGCTTTGCTTAACTACTGTAAACTGCCAAAAATAAGATTAAACAAACAAACTTCTCCCAGGTACAATGCTACAAATCAAGACAATTATTCCATTATACAGAACTAGAGCTCTTCCTTGTATTTCTACAAAATGCTTTTTAAAGTGGACAGCTCACAGTAACCTGCAAAGTATTTGCTAAAGTGTGAATCTTCTCTGTAACATCTTCAGTTCCATGATTTTGGATTCTGGTTGCTCTTATAGGACCCCGTCTTCCAATTCTATGACGAAAGTTATCAGAGTCACTGGATGAATCTGCCATTGGAATCTTAGAAGTGAAAAAGACTCACATTAGTAAATCTTATTACATTATATCAGTTGCCATGTTTCTATCATATCACCAAGAAACAAACTCAGAAAGCATATTGGCTTTGGTTGGTTCTCAATGATCCCCTATAGATTATATGACAAAGCTACATACACACATACACACATGCAAAAGGAACAAAGCAGACAGTCATGAACGCATATATACAGTACTACTTTTCTTCTGCTCCAATCTCAAAACAAATGACAGGCAATACATTAAGTGAACAGCAAAGTTTTCCTTATACATCAATAAAATTAGCATCATAACCCTAGGAACAGAAAAGGACAGATTCCAAAAATTAAACAAAGGCAAATAGCAAAAAAAAAACCCAAACAAACAAA